CTTCAATCTCGTCTGCTCCAGTCCTCAAGTTCTTTAACCCGAGAGAACCAGTGACCCTGTCTGTTGATGCAAGTTCAAAAGGGTTGGTGCAGTCCTTCTGCAGAATGACCGCCCAGTTGCTTACGCATCCTAACTCCCAGCCAAGAAAATTACGTGCAGATGGAGAAAGAAATGCTGGCGATTGTCTTTGGGTGTGAACAGTTTCATGATAATTTGTATGGACAACGAGAGATTACAGTTGAAAGCGACCACAAACCGTTGGAAGCAATCCTGAAGAAGCCCATTCATCAAGCACCCCTTCGTTTTACAAAGGATGATTCTCAGGATTAAGCCTTACGCAGTTACTGTTAAGTCCATACCTGGCAGCAAAGCGCCTTTAGCTGATACGCTCTCCTGAGTATGTAGTTACCTCGCAACGCTACAGACCAAACTGGTGAGTTTGAAATCCATGTCCTGGACTCTGGTAATTCGTCGGAGACGATGTTTCACAAGTTGAGGGACGAGACTAAGAGTGATCCTGAACTTCAACGATTGCAGAAAGTTGTCATGAGTGCTTTGCCGCAGACCAAAGTAGAGACACCATTTGAGATAAGACCTTAAAGGAACTACCGAGCTGAAATAAGCTGCTACGAGGGGTTAATGTTGAAGGGTGATCGCAAAATTGTTCCCCTTAGCCTGCGACCCGAAATTCTTCGACGCATACACGCCGCTCACCAGGGGATAGAGAAGTGCAGTGTTTTGGCCAGGTATCGATGAGTTGGTATCAAAGTGCATTACCTGTCAGCAACACCAGCAAAGCAACCAGAGAGAGCCTTTAATTCCTCAAGAGGTCCCATTTTCTACTGTAAGGGGAGAGATTACCTCTTTGAAGGTGACTATTTCTCCAAATATCCTGAAGTAGCCCTCGTCTCCTGTAAGAATAGTGAAGCAGTTATCTTGGCCATGAAAGATAACTGCCTCACTATTCTTTTGCACGTCATGGAATCCCCAAGAGGCTAATCGCAGACAACATGCCTTTCAATTGTGTGAAATTTAAGGACTTTGCCAGTAAGTGGGAGATAGAAGTGATAACTTCAGGTCCACACTACCCGAAATCTAATGGTCTTGTGGAAAGAAGTGTACAGACTGTGAAGCAGTTATTAAGGAAGGCTAACGAGTCAAAACAGGATGTATTCCTCGCTTTATTAGAGTTCCGCAATTTCCCTGTCAGTGGAATAATAATACTAATAATAATAATAATAATAATAATAATAATAATAATAAGTACCTGGGAGGGTACTCGAAAGACCTCATGAAGAGCGTCAGGGAGCAGAAAGGAGTACAGCAGTGTTAGGTAGAATGCAGAAGTCTGTAGTCAGCAGTTCACTTAAGATTGCAAGATCTTTGAAAGTGATGAGTTGAAGACTTCATCTTAGCCATGTGTTATTTTGTTGAGTTTTTAAGACATTAGGGACTAGCCACTAGGGCTTTTTTTTCTTTTTTTAGGTTTCTTTTTTCTTTTATTATCATTTTGTATCAGTTTTTGTTTTTGTTTTTGTTTTTTTTGGGTACATATGTAAATTCTGAACATGTTAGCTGGTCACTTCCTAGACGCCCAGCCTTCGTGTATATAGGTTCTGGTATCCAGACGTTTTAACTGCCATAATAATAATAATAACTTTTATTTATATAGCGCTCATATCCTGAGCTCATGGCGCTTTACAACACTGTGCGGGGGACTTTTATCAGACTGCTAAGCAGTTTACAGTCAAATAAAGGCGAATCTAACAGATGCCCCCTCCCCCCCCCCCCCAGTAAACAAGCCAGACCACATCACAGTAATCTCGCGAGTGGGTTCTTTAACGTCCCCTGTCTAACCAAATTTAACTAATTAATAAATGCAGGAGACGGGACCTATTGGCTTATTCGTCCTTATCCAAGAAGAATAGAATGTCTATCCATTTCTTGATGTTATAGAACGGTAGCACATTCTCGTCATTTATTTTAAGACCCTGAGAGTAGGTCCAGCCAGGGCTTGAACCCTCGACCTCCCGCACAACAGTCCGGCGCTTAACCAACTGAGCTAGCCGGGAGGCGGTTAGCTCAATTGGATGAATCCCCAGCAGAACCTCTTATGAGCAGAAAGCTTAGAAAAAGATTTCCAACTTCCAAGAGCCTCTTTGAACCACAGCTTAGGTATATTTCTCAGATTCGTCATAATATGCTGACAAGTCAACAACGTAAGAACGTGCTCTATGACCGCGGCTCTCGGCCACTTTCCAAACTACACGAAGGGGAACCTATGTGAATGAACCAGGGATGAGAATGCACACCCGCGGTGGTCATCCGAAAACGCCAGACTCCTCGTTCGTACATTGCACCGACGTCTGATGGAACGCAGATGCGTCGAAACCGCTTCCATCTTCAACCGACCAAGGAGGAGGCATCTCCAGTCCCAAGCCCAGCAAGAAACCCAGCATGCTAGCAGAAGGCACCGACGAGTAAAATTCTTGTATGCAACCAAACACTGATGCTGGTATCGAAAGGCCAGAGATGGAATCACAACCCGATATCCCGCAAGAGTATAAACCCGACAGAAGAAGTCTACGGATCCGCAGACCATCCCAGCGTCTTATTGAAACTGTATGGTGATACTGCCATGCTGACCACAAGTTAAAGCTAAAAGAACCTTTGGGTGATTTTGTAGTCGTACACACTTAGAACCTTTAGGACTGTTAGAACCTTGTTTATTAGAACCTTGTTTAAGTTCTAACTGTTTTAAGAAGAGATCTAGATGTCACGTTGGGACGTTATGCCTGACGCGTGACACGCATGCCCTCTAGAACCTTATTACATTGAACTTCGCTTTTCGGACTCGGATCTTTTGACAGAGATCGATGGTAAAAAGGTTTAAACTGAAAATAGAAAAAAATATAATTCGAATGATTTCCGTTTTTATTTTAGATAATCCTCCACTACGACTTCTGGCGCGATAGAATTACTTATAACCTTGCAGGAGGTAACACTGGGCTTGACTTGCAAGAGACTAAGCTACCCACCCACTGGAAAACGCCCTTCTCCAAGATCTGTCTCTGTATGAAGATCGACCACCAAAAACAATTTATTGTCATGAAAAGGCAGGCCAACTCATTGTACTTAATCCTCGCTGATGGAAAATACCTAAAAACGACAATAAGCTGTAACACGTGGAAGAAGCTTATTAGTTCGCAAGCGTCGTTGCAGCTTAACTACACTGATAATTAAGGATTCAATGTTATGGGTATTCACAAACACTCTTCAAAAGCAAGAATTTGTTTAACTAGAAATAATGAGGGAGACTGCATAGCCACTGATTCTAGAATTGCTTTTGGTACAGGAGGACTCTATGGTAACAGCAACGCGTGCAGAAACGAGGCAGTGTATGGTGGAGATAATGGAGAGAAACACATCAAAGGCATGGGATACATCGCAGTGCATTGACAAGGGAGACAATAAACTATCCCAGAGCGGATGATTCAGGATGAAAGGTTAAAGACTATTAAAACAATCAGTTGAAACTGATGCAGTGTTGTTTTCTGAGGATGTTGTCAAAGGTAATTATTAGTTTCTAGTTTCTAATTGAAGTTCACTTTTTATGAGTTTCCACCCGTAGAACATAATTCATTTTAATCGCTCAAAACCATTAAGTTTTACGACGAAGAGAGAAGGGAAAACTGGGAAAACCAACCATGGAGATATATCCAGTTTCAAAGATGTCAGTACAGATCAGAGATGACTGAAAACAATTATTCAAAGCAACACTTAGATCTCCGTAAACATTGGTTAGATCTTTGTTAATCTACTAATATTTATTAATTTTTAAAAAGAACCCAGCCAGTGCACCTTGCCCTCAAAACACTTATATCAGCTGTAAAACTCTCCACACAGGCTGGCCAAGTTGGGGTAACACCAAAGAGACTTGAATAACTCAAACGAATTGAAGCAGAATTGCAAACGGCGGAGTTGCTTTTACTGGAAACTGCAACTAGCGAACTTGCCAACCTAAGCCAATAGTTTAAAAAATGTACAAAGAGTGACCTGGCTCTCTTTGATTTTGATAGTGTAAAATTTTACAATCATATCTGTCTGCAATTCAAGATTTACATTAGTTTTTACCACAATTTACAGTAATGTCACAATCTGATTGCCCAATTTGCCGTTGTCGATAAGAATATAGACGACGCCGCTCGTGTCAACGTGCCATGCAACATGTCACGCATTAAAAGAATCGCGAGTTTAACGTCGATATCGTGGTAAAAAAAAATCGAACGTGGTTTAACGGGGTCTGTACTCTTATCGACAACCATATTCGCCATCAAAATGGCGAAAATTTTTTGAAGACTCACTTAGCTGCGCCTCGTGAGTCCACAACAATGACGAATATCGTTGACGATTAGTTCGTCGATGATCTTGACCGTGATCAACGCTAACCTCATATTGTGATATTTTACGCCATGTCAGTTTGTCATACCATGTAGACTTATCGACAGATAATAAAAGTTTTTGAAATATTCACAAAGAGTTTTTGTAAAATGCGCCAGGTGTTTTAGCTTTCAGCAAATTTAATTCAAGACGAAGGACGATTTTAGTCTCTATGGGGGCGAAATTACTCTCTCCCATTTCTACAAATAAACAGCGGAAACATTTAATTTCTGTTTAGTTTCTCGCTGAGAAAACAGAAATCGACTTTCAGACTTTAACTGATGTTGTTTCAGTACTATTTATTTCTATTTGACCCGTCGAGAAGCTTTGGTAAAATAAAATAAACGATTCATTTTCAAGGTAATGAAAGTTTCATCAACTGAGTTGATAATATAAATTGGCTACAGTTTCTTTAGAATATTACCCCCTGAAGTCATTTTCACCCGACAAACTGTGCGCCTGCGGGCAGAGTAAATAAAGCCATCACATTAAAACAAAGAAGAGTAGGATAATAGCCAGGTTTCGTTGGTCAAAAGGGAGTCAGAAAGAGTTATATATTACGAAAAATTGAAAACAAACATTTGGCATCAATTTACACGTCTTTTGGAAAACGATCACAGAAAGCGATCTGCGTCATGAAGAATTCGATTTTTGTCCTTGTTCTGTTACTTTGGTGTTTCATGATATCTACTTCTATCTCATCGCAAGGTTAGCTTTTCTATTACTCATTTCTGAGCGGGGATTTTGAAGAGAAATTGGTCCTTCTTAATCATAGTTACCGTTCAACACCTGCACGTTATTTGTTGAAGGGAAGTTTTGTTCTTTATCTCCACAATAAGAAACTGTTTAGAGATGGTTCAACACTTTTTCAAACTTCTTTCAACCGCTTACAAGCTAAATTAAAGGTGGATGGAAAGATGGTTAGTTACGAGGTTTTTATGAGTAAACTTATGAGAACTTCATGGTCGAAATTGCGAATGGATTTCAAGTCTATTTTTTGTTTCTTTTTTTTTTGACTTTCTAGACTGGTTCTTTGTTAGCGAGATCGTTATCCAAGTATAAAATATGTTCTAATTTTTCTCTATCCATCTCTCCACCTAATCCATTTTCCCATTTTTTCTTGTATTCTGGACTCAATAGTGGAAATTTTACACTTGTGAATACTATCTTCGTAGTGCAGCAGTTTAACCCTTTTTAATACTGCTCTTCTTGTTTGTGCTTGCTGGAGTGGTTATGCCGTTAGTAAATTTAGATTTTTAGCTCGTTTGCCGTTAACTTTTTGTTCGAAAAATGCTTAACAACTTCCATGGACAGAACATGTCGATAATTTACGACTCTTACTAGATATGTAGATTTTAGTAGTAATTTAATCGACTGAAGAGCAAGATGTTATACAATGAAGCTCCTTTGCAGTGCAGACTCTTTGCAAAAGTTCTTCGCTGGCTGATTTGAGTCAGCCCAATTTTCTCAAACTAAGAACTTGCGTCTTGGTTCAGAACATTTTCTACCCATTATATTTAATTAATTTTTTTATTGTAAATTTCTTGCTTTACATTTTCTGTGGAAATAAATTATTACATCTGGAATGTTCTGTGAATGGTAGCACGTATCATTTCGACCGAGATACTCGACCGAATACTCAGGAGATAAAAGGAGTCCGGATAAGAACTCATGCGTGTTTAGAGGGACAAAATTTTGGTAATTAATAACCCCTATAAAAGGTTGTCCATGGGTTTATGGCTTTTACGGCCAATTTACGACTTAAGGTTAATATACTTCCATTGCTGTGACCATAAGTTGTAATTACAGTTAGTGTTTTTCCCGACTAATGGCTAAAATTTGACAACTTTTTCGCCAAACGGCTAAATTTTTAGTCACAGTTACCAATGGAATTATTTTTCTCATATCTATTGTTTTGTTTTGTTTCGCTTTTTTTTTGTTTTTAATTCTGAAGACTATTCTGACGCTGACCAATGCCGTGAGTTGCAGTTTACGCCTGAAAAACTATTTGACGGCAGACGTTTTATAAACCACGTGATTCGCATCGTTGAAGTCATGACAATGAAGTTTTGTAAGAGCATGTGTTATATGGAACCTGATTGTGTCAGCATTAATCTTGATAAACGAGTTAAAGGACATGGAGGGTACAGATGTGAATTGAATAATGTTACTCACGAAAGACACGAACACGAAATGGAGGAGAAAATACATTTTTTTTATCATGCAGCTGAGGTAGGTGTTATTTCATTACCAAATACTTAGATTCGGAGAAAAGACCTGTTCACGATCATGAGCGTTGAAACGTTTGCTCCTATTTTTCTACTTTTCATTATCATTAATAATTATTATTATCATTATTATTATTGTCACTGTCCTCATCGTTATCAATATAATTATCATTCATGATGGTTTCTTTTTTACAATTTGAGTGCCCCTCGACTTCTGAGGCACTTTTATCGACCGCTCCAACGTCAAAATTAAGAATTAAATTTAAAGATAATTGATCAGCCAACCTGCTTTTTTGATAGATAATCAGATAAACATAGTACGCATCGTATGATTGGTAAATTCATCTTACAAGCAGATGCTTTATCAGGTTATGAGCCCCGTAGTTATGTCAGAAAAGCAATAGAACAATTTTTTTTTCCGGGCTCTATAACGTCTAATAACTATGTTTGTAAATCTTATAAATCCCTCGCCTGCGACTCGTGATTTATAAGCTTTCCTCGTGTTCCCCAACATCCCGCCTAACTTTATCACGTTATGGAGCACGGAAAAATGTGTACTATTGTTTAAAACAAATATGAAATTAAGATTGTTAATAGTATTTCTCGTTTTCGCTTCAGAGCGCTTGTGTTGATAACCCTTGCGATAACAATGGTTCTTGTCAAAGCGGTTTTACCTACAAAGGATATCGCTGTTTGTGTACCACTGGATTCAAAGGACCACACTGTGAAAAAGGTAAACTTTGCCACATGATTCTTACACAATTAAAAACCTGCATTGACGTGAAAATACGCTCGTAGAATTGTCCGGAAACATGGTATTACCCTAAAAGAAACACAGTAAGTTTCAAAGAAGAGATGATGTTCAGAGACAGTACACGAAAATATTTTAATTTCAAATAGAGGTTATTGCCCTTACATCTCACGGAAAATGTTCTTGGGATAAAACGTTGATAAACAGCTTACGGTCAAAAACGAATCTCTCCAAACTGAACAAAACAACAGCAATCAGTTTCATTACTGGCTTGTCTCCAGTTATCTCTTTCCTATCTCGCATTCATGGGGTCGCCGGAGACTCGCATTACCTCTGGCACGCTTTTCTCGTTAATATATATTGAAGAAGAAGAAGGACTGGGGAAGGGTCAAGCAGGAAGTGCAAATACTGACACTACACATCTTGTCATCCTCATAGAATTTCAATACTTCAAGCTGTCCTAGAGGCTGTGACACTCAGACAGAGCTGCCATTTGCCAATTTGCCAAAGATGAACTTTAAGATTACGTTGAGAAAAGATCTGATAATTGATTCTTAGGCTTGCTCATCGTTACTGTATTTAAGAGGTAACTCGAGCAGTGGACATTGATAGTGTTCCATAAAAGTTTTGGTTGAGATGCTGGTAACCAGTAAAAATGTTACTGATAAATAAGACAAGGACAATTATTTTCAGATGTCAACGAGTGTCCTAAGGAATTACACAATTGCAGTGCTGATGCTGTGTGCAACAATATCAAGGGATCTTACAACTGTACATGTAAACCTGGATATTCCGGAGATGGAAGGACTTGCAAAGGTAAAATTGAATTGTAATAAATTTTTCGATAATTAACAGAATGGTAACTAAGTGATAGTATAGCTCCATTGTCGGATATCTGGTAAGGTTGCGATTTACATATATAAACAAGTGTCGAAACAACATCCAACTACAGTACTTATTCTGTGTGCAACAATATTAAGGGATCGAACAAATTTTCACGTAAACCTGGTTATTATGGAGATGGAAAAAACTTGCGAAGGTAAATCAGTCAACGATTAATGAATTAATAATTAGTTGATTAAATTGAAATTGATTAATATCAGACAAACATGACTGTCTATTCACATTTTATAAACACTTTAATGTAATGAAATGTCTTCTCCGGCAGATATTGACGAGTGTACTGCAGAAACATATAACTGCAGTGCTAATGCTGTGTGCAACAATACTAAGGGGTCTTACAACTGTTCATGTGCCCCTGGATTTCATGGAGATGGAAACATTTGCAGATCGGGTAATGTCAATCTCGTGCCACTTCTTACAGTGGTTTCTTCAATAGTTGTATCAAATCTTAGAGAATAAATGTAAATATTTCAAGCTCTTCGTTTATTTATATACATCGGCAAATAAAGCTCTCCTTGCAGAAAACATTTAAAATATATATGCATCATTGAAGGTTTTTTTTAAAAACTTGTTACCATCAAGAACAAAAATATTTATATAAGCATGGAAAACCTTAAGTCTGCATTTACACCCAAACAGATCAGACCGCTATTTATAGAAATGCAGCAATGACGACAACAAAATCATTGGCAAGAATATGTGGCTATCAAAAGTCAGTTCATCCCAGAAAATTGATTCTTCTTAAATGACAAAATTAAATCTCTGTTTTATTTCCAGCTTCGACATGTAATGAAGTCTACAAGTTGAAAAGGTAAGAACTGCAAGAAATCTGATTAAAAAATGACGATTTAATGATAAAATTGTATAAGGACCGGTTGAATAAAGATAATGGTAATGATAATAAAAATCATTATGATGGTAATGGTACTAATAATGATGAAAATCACAAAGATTATAATAATCGTAAGTATAAGCCAACAGATGCTAAGACAAATGCTCGGTGCTCTCCAGAAATGTACTTAATTTACCGACTTTTACTAGAATTTCTCGTTTTTCTTTTAAGTCACAGGGACTGATCATATGACTCTATGTCTACCTAGCGTAACGAAAGAAATGTTAACAAAGGAACATCTTCCTCACAAAGTTTTTTTTTTGTTAAATACGATACATGATCTTCTGTAAATTAGGATTTGCATTTGACCTTACTCTTTCAGAGCGTTCAAAGGAGTACTTTTGGCGCTCTTTCAGGAGTGCTTATAATATTCTTTCAGAGCATTCTATTGCACAATTTTGATTGGTAAGGCTGATGACTCACGCCCCATGAAGCCGCTCGAAATTTTATGTAAACATACCCCTACGCAGCTCAATAATAATAACAACAGGCTATGTCATTACCATTATTAATTAATACAAGCTGATTGACACCAGAAGAACATGACTTCAGATCCCGTTCAAGATTCAATCTGTTTTCCCTTATGCAGCTCCATAATAATAACAGGCCACAGCCTTGTCTAAATATGATAGAAGCCAATATAGATGATGCCCTTATATCTATAGTTATTTGTTATAAGATACAACGAAACCTTACATGATTTAATGTTGGAATATGTTAGAGTATTGGTCTTTATGAACGTGTAAATGTACGTGTATCTGTCCTTAAAAGTCTTGTAAGAGGGATATACTCTACAGATCGAGCAGCAGTGGTTTGATTACCCTACAATTTGGATCAGAACCAATATCTGTTTTTTGTCACATGGAAGACTTTGGATGTGGAGATGGGGGATGGACGCCAGTTATGAAGATTGATGGCAATAAGGTGTGGTCTTTCGCGTTCATGTTTAATTTAACACAACTGCGATTTCACTCCGGATCCCGCCGTTTTTCATAACAGCCTTCATTTGGGATTGCTGTAGAATTCCTATCTTTTAGATGTATGGTTGGAGATTAAACATTAAAATGATTTTTCTTCTAGGAATACGAAATGATTATGAAATAGAAGCACTTCAGAAATTAAAGCTTCACTGACTTATTGCCTCTCAACGAATAGCTTAGTTAGGTATAGTGCACCAGAGTTTCGTGAAGATAATGAAGGCTTTTTTCTGTCTGCCTTTTAATCGAGCTTTGGGAATGTTGGATTTAACGGCGATTGTTTGACCCTTTCTTAGGTTTTGTTCAACGCTATAATCGTTCTATAGTTATAATTAACTCAATATATTTTTCCAGCAAACCTTCCGCTTTAACTCTAAGCTTTGGGGCAACAAGGCCAACCACAATCTACCAGGAGGCATGACTGGGTTTGACTCACAAGAGACCAAGTTACCTACTTACTGGAATACACCATTCTCCAAGATCTGTCTCGGCATGAAGGTCAACGAACAGATTAACTTCATTGTAATCCAAGAGCGGGCCAACTCACTTTACTCACTAATCGCTGACGGTCAATTCCGCAACACCTCCCTGGGTCGTGACACGTGGAAGACACTGATTGGCTCAGAAGCGTCCTTGCAGCTCAATTGTAACAAGGAAGGGTTCAATGCTGTGGGAGGTTCCAAAGCGAGAATTGGGATCATCGCCAACCAAGAAAACGATTGCAACTCCTGTGACTCCAGAATTGGGTTTGGTATCGGAGGGCACTCTAACACTTGTGGAAACGAAGCAAGGATATCGCCAGATAATGGAGAGAAAGACATTAAAGCGATGGGGTACATCTTGGTGCAGTGAGAAGGAAAACGATATATACACCGGTATATTTAGTAAATAAACCCCTTCGGGCGGCTGGTATATCTGCTGATAATGTCCGCGGCTGAGAGATTGTCCGAGAAATGAATATTTGGCCGAGAAGTGGAGCTTCGAGGCCAAATATTTATATATATAAAAAAGTAAATATTCATAAATAT